CTTCACTGACCTTGGTGCCTGCAGAGGTTTCTCTTACACGTTCTCACTCTTTCTGCAATTCCTTCTGCCTGCAATTCCTTCTGCACAGTAACTTTTCTTTCCACTTTTTAAATACATTATCCCAGAGGAGTCACAACCATCACTGCTGGGCTCAGCTTTGGCCAGTGGTGGGTCTGTCTCAGAGCTGGCTGGCACTGGCTCTGTCAGGTACAGGGAGAACTTTCTGGCAGCTTCTCACAGAAACCAAATTGTCACCTCCCTGCTACCAAAACCTGCCCAAGCAAACCCAACACACCCATTCTGCTGGCAAAGCTATTGAGTCAACGCTGGCAAAGGGAGAGAGCAGCTCCTGAGGATCACACAGTCCTGATGAACGCTTCTAGGTCCACAAGCAGACATTTCTCTAGCACTTCAGTAAATAAGTTTTGTAACTTCATGTGTTCTGACCTCACAAAACAGCACAGTTATGCCATGAGAACTTGTAATTACAATTTCACTACCATCTGTACTACAATTGGTAGTAGAAAGCTCTTGTGCTGTGGCACCACCCAGCAGTTCAAGTCAATTCCCAGTGCATGGGAATCACCTGAACAGAAATGGAAAACATCTCTGAGCGAGCAGGACTACACTCTAAATAGACACTCTAATAGAAGGCTTCATGTGCAATTAATTTCAGGTTTGAAAATGCATCCTGAATAGCTAAACCCACACTCTAAATAGAATGTCACTATCTAGACAAACTGTGGCAAGTGAAAGGTGGCTGTTTCTGCTGGAGAAACTGATTGGCTTTTGACCAAGAGATAAGAGGTATGCACAAAGCATACAGATTTTCTGTTTTGGACCTTTGTTACCATATCTTGGATTCAAACTCTCTCATTAAGTCACCATTAGATGAAAGGAATATTTGACTGATACTATCTGAACGTGTATTTGAACAAGCTATCCATCCCCAAGATTCTGTACTCTTAATTCAGCTCCCAGAAAGTATTTTCACTCCTAATGGCAGCAGCAAAATAAATGCTATAAATGCTAATCAAAAAGGGGAACCATTTCCAGAACAAAGTGTAAAAACATTGACTGGCTCTGTAATCCACTGTGATATTTTATTCCTTATTTCACTGCTTACCCATAAAGAATATTACCAATGTGGAGCTCCTGTGGTCTCATTCTCATATATCTTTATGCATTCCTGTAAAACACCCTTGCAGTGTGTTTCATTTGGGTGCACAACACAAAATGATCCCTTATTTTCCATAAGATAACCTTCCTTGAACTGAAGGAAAACCCATAGCAAGGCTTGCTCTATAAATCCTCATTGTTTGTTTTCATTCCAAGACAGTGAAGAATTTTTGATCCCTTTTTATTTATATAGACCAATAGTTATTTCTAGTTTTCAGGAAAATTTGCAACATTTCAAAAACCAGGAAGAGCTCTTTGCAACATATTGACTGTGATTTCTCCCTTTATTCCCCGTTAGTAAATAAGCCTGTAAAAATACTTTTATAGGGAATAAAAAGGTCGTTTATAGTGTTGTCAGAGACATTTATTTTGTTTTTCTACTTTACTGGCAGCCACTACTCACTTCAAGCTTTGCACTGAACTTTTTATGAAGAATATGTGACATTAGAATAAGGAAATGTAACTGATGATTTTACTCTTATTTAACATTCCATCAATGCCTGTCCCATCAATTCCTTCAGAGTGAGCTCTGACAAGCATCCTTGTTGGGTGTGGTTCTGAATATAAAAAAGGTTTTTGTCACTTTGCTCTCTTTTGCTGTCATTAAATGCCCAGAAACCTGAGATGTCAGAGAAACTTTTGAGGTCAGCTGCCCTGCTCTTCCCACAGAGCTCATTACTAATATCTGGCTGTATTTTACTCAGTGCAAAACCAGAGCAACTCCAGATGAGATTTAGGTACTGCCTTCTAAGCTATCAGATCTTCCCAACAGGATGTCAATTCTGTTATTTGTCCTAATCTTTCTTTTCCTTGATGATTTTATTCCATGGTTTTGTTTCAAACTGAGCTCTGCTCCCTCCCTCTGGTGAAATCCTAAAACATTGCTGATCACAGTACACATGGGCACTTGACAGAATCCCAGAGTGGGTCAGGTTGGAAAAGACCACATTGGGTCACCTGGTCCAACCTCTCTGCTCCAGAAGGGTCATCCCAGAGCACATGGCATGGAATTGCAACCAGACAGTGTCCAGACCTGGTATCAATCACAAACACAGCATTTTTGTCCATCTGTATTTATCAAGAGAGAAACATGACAGTTTCCTTTCTCTGCTTCACCCATTTTGAAGGTTGATGGGGTGGGGAACAATGGACTTGGACAGAATATTTTTGTAGGCACATGTGAGAGATCTGTAACTTGCACTGTCCTTTGAAACATGTGGCACTGATTTTAATCACTTAAAGCACAATACAGGCAAGTTGAGAACAGGAACACATGAAAGATTGTCTTAATCAATTACCTGTTGGAACTATAGCAGGGATGGAAATGATACTGCATATTTATATCCTAATAGCAAGTCTGATCCTCAGGATGAGCCAAAATACATCTCTGTGACTGAGTGAACATGAAAGTCTTTCCAGATTAAAGGTTGCCCTCATTTCAAGGAAGAAAAAAAGACAAATGGAATAGTGCTGCTATTGATGGAAATAATGTCTGCTATGATGGGAAAGCTGGAAATGCAAATTGAGAAGCTGTCAAGCCACGTGCAGCACCACTCAGTAACCTCACTGTCGTTGTATCACAAAAGGGAACAGAACATCTGCAGTTCACTGCAGGATTAGCATTACCTAAACAAGCCACACTTTTGCTAATTATGCCATCTGCAAATGAGCTCATGTCACTCCCTGTTCAAACTTACAGATACAGCTCAAATGTACCTACAAATAGCAAAAATTGTAATCTGGTGTAAAGAAATCCAACCATAAACCCAAATATAACCATCCATAAACTATGACTTTGTGCACACCATCTGTTTCACAAAGCTCTGCTCTGTGAGTACTGATAGCAGTCATCCTTATATACAGATCAAAATAATTACAAAATAAAAATAAATCTCATTTTTTATACAATACTAGTAGCAGAATCCTCAATTGAATCTCATTGCTCTTACATAAATGCAATTATGTGTATGCAAGACAAGACAGGCTTGCAGTCTTTTAGGGCATGAAATGGGTTGATAATTCTACCTCCATAAAAGACTAGGAGGGACTTGGGAAAGAAGTTCTCTCTGAGAGGTCTGCCTCAAATATTCAGTATTCTTTTATCCCAAGAGCCAGATTTTCACAAGGGCCAGAAAACTCAAACTTCTTCATTGGGTCAATTTTCACATTTCCACTGACACTTCACTGAATCTTCTGTAATCAGACTCCTCCACTGGCAGGTGTGAAGAGTTCAAGCCAAAAATCAAGTCCTGATCATGAAAGTTGAACACAACTCCAAAAGATTCCCTCACGTGCCAGATTTTCTGCCCACTTTGATCTTAAATCATTTGAACAACTGAATACCTTGCAGTATGATTTTTGCTGCTTTCCTCCTTTCTCTACTAAGAGTGCTGACAGGACTGCTCATTCTTGAGATGCAAGAGGTTTTCTCCTGTGTTTTGGGTTTGGCTTGCTTTTTTAAAATTTGTAAAGCACATGTCCATGTGGTGAGCAAATTTACTGGAATGTGAAATAATTTTCCTATATTAATACTAAATGCTTGTAGTTTATATTCTATATAGCAGTGCTAAGATGCTGTGTGGACTAAGAAATTTATAGCTTTAGAAGAACTAAAGATATTAAAATGTTTTGAAAAATCTGAATTGCATCAATTTCATTCTTTAATCTTGTTGGAAAACATGCCATTAAAAACAACAATTTTTGCTGTTTAGGCCATGGTAGAGCTGGGAGAAAAAAAAGACCTGAATTGAAAAGTATTTTAAAAGTAATAATAAAAAAAAGGAAGCAGAAAATTCATGTGTTTGTGATTCAGTATAGGAAAATGTGGTGTAACTCATCAGTTATAACTCATCAAGTCATAAATTACATGGGCTGTATGGCTGTGATATACTGGATTTAAAACAAACAAAACCCCAACACTCTTTGTCCAAATGCAGCCACACCATTTCCAGACAGAATTACTCAGTCTTTCAGAAACAATGTACTTCAGAATTCTTGAGTGATGCATAGAAAAACATTTTTCTGTCCCCTTTTCAGAGAGGCTTCAGTCTAAGTTCACCACTGTTACCACACCATTATGAGGCTCTTCCAAATGGTTTTGACAGCAATTGGGCTATTTCAATAAACTCTAAGTTTTTGAGACTGCTTTCTTCTCTTCTAGATAACAGAAAGCATTGTTCTTGTAAGTCAACATTGAATTTCAACCAGTAATTACAAAAACAGTTTCTGATGAAGATTAATCATAGTGATACATTTGATGCATCAGTTTCTATCACATTACAAATATTACTAAACATTTCATGACTCATTCTAGTCAAGTTTACTGAACACACACAGAATCAACCCTGACACTTGTGGCCAAGTCAGTGACACAAAATGGCAACGAGGTCTCCACCCTACAAACTTCACATCCCTGGGGCTTCCTGGTGCAGGTCAAGATGAAACCAGAGCAAACAAAGCTGCCACTGAAGCCAAGCAATTCTCAGTTCTTGTCCATTAACAAATTTAAACTTCCCATTGCCACAGCTAAGGGAGAAACTGCCACCACACTCTGTCCAGCATCAGGAGAACTCAGCAGACTCAGAAGATGCTGACAACCAACCCACTACATTACATCCACTTAGTCAAAAGTTTATTTCCACTTTTTTATCCAGGACACTCATAAATAAGTTCAATCACATAGAAAGGTCTGCCTGTATTTCACAGTGGTACTTTCTTGATAAGATACTACTAACTGGAGAAATAATTTGTCAGAGTCAATGCACACCAACATTTTTAAATTAGCTATGAAAAGGAAACCAACACTAAAGAAATTAAAACAATAGAAGAAAACATTACATTTCTTTATTTATTAATAATTTTATAGGTCAAATTTGAAAATATTAAACCAGAAACAATTCAAGATTCATGAAGAAAAATCTGGAACTATATACATGCATAATTAAGAATATCTTGATTCTCATCAATATTTTACTTAAGCTTTTTGTACAAATTTTTTCACACAGTCATATTTACAAGCATGTCTATTTAAAACATATGAACATACATCTCTTTTAGCATTTACAAAACTTTTGAATATATTTTTTTTCTTAAAAACAAAAGAATATTTCCTTGATTTGACAGTTTTGGTTTCACCTTATGATACAAGACAGGTATTTATTCAGAGGGATGGAAATAGCTACCAATATTCAAATAGCTAAATAACAGTCATCCTACTGATACCCAGAATTATCACATATGGCTTTAAATATCTTCCAGACTCAAAGGATCATCTCACAGGTAGAAACTACAGTTCATCTGTGGTGTGTTTCTAATTAAATCAAGCCTTTGTTTGGGTTACAACTCGGCAGACACTTTCTAAGAATGTACTCAGAGCTACGAGGCCATTTTAATTATAGAAAAAACAACTTTGCTTCCAGCAAAGTCAGGAATATATGAAAGCATGTATAAAATGGGATGTATGGGCTTTTTCAGACACTCTAGCTATCTTTATAGATGGTTTTTATCATGGGATACCACAGTTTTGAACAGACAATACTCATGTGAATTTACAGGAATCAAGTGAGAGATCTTCAAAGATGGGGAAGAATGAATACTTTTTCCTTAAAAGCGTATTTTAGAAACAAAAAGTCTGAGAAGGTTTTGCACATAATATGTCTAAGTCACTGATACAATCCTACCAGTTAGATCACTTCACAAATCAACTGAAAATCCATCAGCTTGCTTGCTTTTGGTTGGGACAAGAAAAACCCCAACCTCTGGCTTTGGCAAATCAAGAAATCACCTCCTTTGAGCGTTTTTCTCTAGAGCTCCTGCACTGATTCTTCCACAGTTTGCTCCTCCACAGGCTGCACAGCCTCCTGAACATAAACAATGAATTCTGAAGCCTCCCCACCCTGGGTGTAGACAGTGACTGTCTCTATGCCCTCCACCTCATCTGAGGACACCACCAGGTGATGCTGCTCCGACAGCTCCACCGAGGCTTGCTGCAGCGTCTCCTGGATCATCAGCGTGTGGTTGGCTGACTGCTCCTCTTCTTTCACCTGAGGAGACATTGCACAGCTTTCAGAAATTTCACCTCCCCAAGAAGTACCTGGTATTGTGATGATTAATGGAAATACAGCACACAAATTAGCAATCACACCGTTTTGAGAGAAAATGTCAGTTTTGCAGAAAATGTGAGCACTTTTGATTAATGAGTGTGTTGCTAGGCAGAATACTGAAAGCACCAACACAGCATCTCAGTTCAGTGCAGAGAGCTGCAAAGTTTCAGGAACACTGGTCTTTAGAGACAGCTTTAATCTCTCAGCAGTCACTCATTCAATACTGCTTTTATTTAAATAAATCTGAACTCAGTAAATTCCTCTAGTAGCGCTGAGTTGTTAACCCATCCAAAACTATGTGAGAAAACATCTACTGTACCCACCTTTCTTTTTGTCCCTAGTCAATGGCTGCTCACAGAAGTGAAAATTTCACTGTAAACCTTAAGGAATTTTATTAGCAAGATGTGAAACATAAATATCACTGAAATAGGTTCCTAAATCCTCCTGTTTGTGAGGCAGCAATGTTTACATTATTGAAAGGATAGTGACAGAAACAAGTGAAAATAGAAGATTTTTTACTGAACATTTAGCTTCATGTCAAAATTTTAAAAAGCAACACAATCTGGTGTTGAATTCTAAACTCATATAGGTGTCTGTCAATTACTGAAATACAGTACATACTAGAAAGCAAAACCAAATCCTGATCCTCTACCAGACCCATATAAAATTCCTATGCAAAGTACTCCAGACAAGTATAAATAAATCAGAAAACTCTAAGTCATGTGGAAGAAACGTATTCTCTCAAATGTTAGTGATAAAATAATCTACTTCCAGGAAGAGAATGGAACAGCAATTTTTCAGTATGCAAGACATATGCAAAAGCATTTGTTAGGGGAAGGCATCCCTACCCATGATGAGATATCTTTAATGTCCTTTCCAATCCAAACCATTCTAGGAATCTATGGTTCTGTTTCCTGCAGCACAGTGTGCTCCTGCAGCACTGAACTCTTAAGTGATCTTAAAAAGAAGAGGTCAGAGATAGCAGGTTGTACAGTGTGGAATCTAAGTTATAAAGGGCTATTTTTTTTTAATTAGAAGCTTGCTCAGTAGCACAATCAAATTCAAGTAAATATAATTAAGATCATTAATGCTGTTTAAGAGGGAGTGGGAACAGAAGGGAAGAACCACAGTGAAGATTCCAAGGATCTGTTTGGTACCTTAGAGACCAGCAAGGAGAAAAATAAGCCCTATATGTTTGTTTTCCTGATGCTCTTTTCTCATTTAATTTTTTTTTTTCCCTAAGCAACTATTCTCTTTGTTATACAGTGACTTTGCTTCTGACTTTTCTATTCCGTGTTTAAAATTAAAAAATATTTCAGAGATTCACAAGCCCCTTAGGACTTCTCAGCACTCTAAAATTTCAGTCAATTAATAAAGCTATAGAAAGCTTTTTCTTGAACAATAACAAGTATGTCCAGGTGTTAAATTATTCAGAGGGTCCCAAGTCAGTATGGCTGTAATATACTAATGAAATATATATGGATTTTATCTGGTGAAAGATTTAACATCTAAAGGGAATTTGGCCATTGTCACTGACCTCAATGCAATGGCACAGTTGTACCCACCAATGCCCACTCTGGCTTTGCTGCACAGCATTCAGTTTATAGGGATAAAAAAATACAGGAATGGAATAAAGTCCTTTTCATAAAGAACAACTTGTGTTGTCTCAAAATGCAGGTATCATAGAAGCAAGGAGTCACAGGCTCATAGAATGGTTTGGATTGACAGGGAACTTGGAGATGATCCAAGCCCTGTGCCATGGGCAGGGACACCTCCCACTAGGCCATCCAGCCTGGCCCTGAACACTCCCAGGGATGGAGCATCCACAACTTCTCTGGGCAATCTGTTCCCACGCCTCACTACCCTCTGAGCAAAGAATTTCTTCCTAACATCTAATCTAAGTCCTTCTTCTTTGAGTTTATAAACAATCCCCCTTGTCCTTTCCCTATCTGGTAAAAATCACTGTCTCTCTTTTTATAAGCCTCTTCCACCAACACACCCCTCACTAATGGAAGCTTGAGCCTCTCCTTGAAAAGCAAGGAGCTAAATCATGAAAAAAACACACAGCATCGTAAATTTGTGTCTCTTGCTGCCCCTAATGCACCCTTCTTAATTTTTTTAATTATTAAAGAAACCCTAAATCCTACTGAAAGCAACAGAATTTTAGTGAATTCATACACCAAACTCCCTTTTTGTAACTGCCCTCTCTTTCCTGAGGGTACTCGTTCCACTGTCAGCTCTGTGGAAGTTAAGGACATACACAAGATCTACTAATGAATATTGCAACAGGCCATGAAAAGTCTAATCACCATTGAATTCAGACTGGAAGCTGCAGTTAAAAATGCTAGATAATTAGAATCTCACAGCTTGTTATGAATCAGCTCACAATTACAGCCCTTGATGCTAGAGATGCTCACAGAAATACAGAAATAGGGTTGTCTAAAATGTGGCCCTATAATTATGCAATATACACTAATCCCTCTTGTTTTAGTGCACTACACATAACCCTCTGACAACATACCTCAGGCCAGAAAAATTACACTACATTTGCTAAGAGCTGCAAGAATGCACAACACAGTATGAGATGGATCTCACTGTTGTCACTCTAAATCAAAACCCATAAATAATTTTAAATATAGCTTTGTGCATGTACATAAATAATGAAGAGAGGAAAAGAAATAAAGCATAGTTGACACAAAAATGAAATGAAAGCAGAATCTCATTCAATTCAATAGCAGCAATCTAATACTTATTCAGTTTTATATCCTTTTGAAATGAAAATGGCCAATAAAGGAAGTTAATTTAAACTCCATACCTGACTTTATCGATGTGGGTTTATTACTCTTGTCATGCAGGGTAAAGAAAACTAATTCCTTTATTTCTGGTGTTTCTAGCTTCCAGTATCTTTTTTTTTTGACAGCTATCTGTAATCCTTTTAGTTTGACAAATCACCACATTATTTGGGATATTTACATTTCAAATCAGTTCAGTGTTTACATGCTTCTGCTTGGTTCCTATTAGATTGTTCCACAGGGAATAATCTCAAAATGTTAATTTACATCCCTCAAATTGATGAAACAGTGGGACAGCTGCCATCTGAATGAACGAAGTCACCACACTCAATTCTCTTTATTGGCTTCTGAAATCTTTTGAAGAGCAGCATCCAAGACCTCTTTTCTGTTTGAGAGTCAGCTGAAAAGCATCTGTCTGCTTATCCTTCATTAAAGAATGACAGCAAGTAGCTGAAGCCACACACAGCTGGCACATTAAGTCAAGTCAGTACCTGCATAAATATTCTTTATTAACTAAATCTGTCTCTTGCAAAAGCCAATGGGACTTTCACCACCATGTTTTCATAAGCTCAACATCTCTAAATTCCAAATGTTCTTAATTTACATATCTGAGAACCATCCAAGACATGGAAGTACTCATTACAAATGGGTCTCTCTTAGAGGAATCTCATCCTCTCAAAACAAGAAAGTATTTTTAAATTTAAAATTAATGAATTCAAGCTGTTAAGAAAAATATACTTCTTTTCTTTCCTGAAAAGAAGTAAAAAAAATAAAAATAAAAATATTTGCAGTAAGATGATAAAGTCTTTTCCTTACTCTAGAGCTCATTTTTTGAAATACTGTAATATCTTCAATTTTATTTGAAGTCAGCAGGAGTTGCAGGTCCATTGTGCTTGAAACAGTTTTATTTGGCCTGTCCCCAAATCCCCAGTGGAATCTTTCCCTTGATTTCAGATTGAATGCTGCTTTTCAGTTTACCATGAAGCAGAAAAGTTAATCATAGAGATCTTTCAGATTTTGAAAACCTTAAACTAGGCTGCAGATGCTCCTATTTATATCATAAAACATCAGTAAGAAAATATACAAAATATCTGCAGAAAGGATTAAAATGAAAGCATTTTAGATCACAGAGAGCACCTGGATATGTGATGTGTCAGCTTACATTGGTGCCTACAAGTTTTGTTCAGTATCATTTGAATAATTTCAACTCTTTCTCTGTTCTCGTTTGCATACAGTTATATTGTGTGAAAAAGACACACAGAAAACACCCTAATTTGATCATCTGAATCTCTATAATGAGCTACAAAACAAAGACAATCTGGTACACAATGGTTTTGGAATAGTAAGAAGGTTGATTATGAAAGAGTTGCTTTGCATAAAATAAAAACAGCAAGGAGACAAATGAATCTTCATACTGTTGATGCAGATTTTTAAATAGTTTCAGCAATTGGCTGGTTGAATATATCCTGGCAGAGGGACTGTGGCTGGACATGGCACTCATCTGGCAAAATGCTGGATCACCCCACCTCCTTTTGAGGCAGAATGGTAACACTGCCTTTGTTTTAGGAGCTCTAACAGGACGGTGATCTTGACAGACATTTTATCTGTACATTGCAGAGGTGAAGAGAACTCCTCAAAGGAAATAGGACCTCAGCCCCATCTGTCCCATTTAAAATTTTCCATCTCTGTTACTGTCACAGGAAGCATCAGATTGCTGTGTTCTAAAGCAACTACAAAACTGACAATCAGCACATGTGTAACTCCATATACTGGCAAATTTTCTAGATTACCACCAGCACCCATCATCACGCCAGGACTGATCCAAGGCAGACTGAAATACAAGGTGTGCTGCTGAAGTACAATGTTCAGTAGCCTCTGATGTGACAGCCATGCTAATAATAGGTATTTTCTTTTGAAGATGTGCTATGCTATAAAATTATTTTCTGTGATCTGCTTTGAGCTGATGTATAATCTTTGCTCTGCCTTCCTACTGCTGTCACTTTGAAGAAAGTGACTTACCATGGTAGGTTTTTACTGGAGCCTGAAGAGATCACAGAATAAAAGGATGAAAGGAACTAAAATAAAGGGTGAAACACATGGAAATCAAATATTTTCTGGTTACCTTCTGATAAAGATCTGTTTAGTTAC